CATATTTTCGTGACAATGAAAAGAAAAAACGATACCATGTTTTAGGTATCTTGTAAATACAATCACAATAAGTAATCCGTAAAGAATAAATTTTTTCTTTTATTAATCAGGATTTGATCTTTGTAGATAACATTTCGAAAGTAAAATTAATTTTAAATGCATGAGAAAATGTAATTTTAAAATCGTTTAAGATGAAAATTAGGCTCAAATAAATTTTGGGAATACTTGTACGGAATTTAAAAAAAAAAAATCATACATAACATTGTTGTATTAAATACTAAGTTAAGATATATAGCATATGGACTAAAAAACCTGCATAAAATTAATAGGATAAAATATATTATTGGTTATTTAATTATGGTTGTATTTTTAAAAGTCATTTAATTATTAAAATTTTTTATTTAATTACTTAAGTTTGAATAAATTTTTTTTTCACTTAATTATTAGATTTTAACAGGCGTGCTAACATGATATTACTATCTCAGCTATTAAGTACTATGTAGCTTCATTTTTTGTATTAGTTATTAGCGTGTCACATGGCAGTGTCACTTGACGTTTAACATATTATTGTCATATTAGCACGACATTAAAAATTAATTGTTGAATGATAAAAAAATTTATATAAATTTAAATGATTAAATTAAAAAATATTAACAGTTATCATTTTAAAAACACCAATGAATAATTATGTATTTTACCGAATTTAATAATAATAGGTTGTCTATACCGGCCAGAATTAATCCAGCTTGCTCCACAACCTTACCCAAATTGGACGGAGGTACAGAGGTCGCCCCTTGATCATTTTAAACTTCTGTTCTGTATTCCATTTCAGGAATGGTTGGAAGCTGCAATATAAACATGAGATTAATTTGCCTGTTAGCATCTTGGGATCTCACCATGCCAAAGAAGGATTTGTACTGACACTTGTACCAGGCAGTTTAGGTTATATCCAATTTTGTGGTTTCATGATTACTTTCCTGGTTTTCCCCAATAATATTTTCCTTAAAGTGGGGGTGGCTTTGTTTTAGTTCCAACAGAACCCATTGCCATCCCCCATTCCTCTACAATCAATTTGATAAAAGGCAGCAGTCTCTTTCCAACCAAACAAAAACAATGGAATATTGGACGAGAACCCCTCACCTGTTACCTAATTATACCCTAATCATTCACTTGGTTTTTCTATTGTTTTTCTTCTAGCAACTAATAGAAAAAGTATACTTTAATTCAAACTTAAATGCAAACTTTTGGAACAAATTAAGCTTAATTAAATAATGAATTGTTGATGAACCTTTAATAAATGGCCAAATCTTTATTCAACAGACAAAATTTATGTAAATATTCTTAAGTGGTGGCATTAAAAGTAAATTTAAAAATTCCAACACCTTTAACATTTTTCCCCAGCTAGCTATTCCTTGACTGTTCCCCAAAAAAAAGAAGAAAAATTGCTACTAGACAATAGGTTTAACGAAAGAAAGCACACACATGTATATATTATTGACAACAAAAGTATAAATAAAGAATTGGCAAACTTTGGTATTAAAAAAAATGTGCGGGGACAAAATGTTTATTTTTAATTAATGTTTGTTTCAAAATTAAGTTGCAACATGGGTTAAGTTTTCTTCTGTTAAATCTTATTCTAATGATCATGATGTTGACTTGACCAATCAACAATGCATTATTATGCTTTATTTTTATTTTTTTTTGTTTATAAAGCTCTTTTGATTGTCACAGACTCAATGTAATCTAGTGATCGGCCCCTAATCTGAGTCTCCTAGTTGTTTCTAAGAAATAAGTAAATGGCTTTCTCACCTAACCAAAATCAAGATTTATAAAGTTCAATTTAAAGAATATTTGACTTAGTTTTTGATATATAAATTTTTGTTGAATTATTGGAAGAGTAAATTTGAATTTTCTTTCTCTTGTACTCACCATTTTAGAAAATTCCAAAGACCAAAATGGTTGAGAGCTGAAATTAAGCAATTAAAAAGAAAATTCAAGGAGTCGTTCGTGGCTGCTGCCTGATCATGACGAGGGCCATTGGATGGTACAGAAAACTGAGAGTCAAGTGGCTCTTATTCAGAAACAAAAAGGAAAACTAATGATGGGTCCTCTTTGATATCATATGACAGCTAGTGAGCAGTAGAACAGAAATGGAAATGGCAATCTGTGGAGACAAGATATTATTGCTCCAATATGAAGACAAATATTATATAAAATAATTTTTAAATTTGTTGGTATTGGTTTACCCTTTCATTTTTTCATATTTAATACTGATTGTGTGATATTTATTGTTACTATTACTATCAAAACATGAAAGTAACAACCAGCCTACTTTCAGAGAAATATAGGGGTCTTCCATTTCCATGAAAACAGAAATTGTGTTTCTCTAATTAAGGATGAAAATCCATATATAGTTCATATCCAACAAAATCATAGTATTGGAATAATATTTCCAATTTCTGAGGTTACTTGACATATGGGAAATTCATAAGATAAAAGTTGCAAAGATCCCAAATCATAGCTAAAGATCGAATCAATGTTAATTTGAAAATTAGAGAAATGAAAATGATTTTTTTTATTTGAAATTATCATATATGGAACCCTAATTATTTGAATTACAAATTGAATATTTTATCAATAAACACACCACTGTCAGTTGGGAAGAATGACATTTTAGTTTGCTCTCATTTTATCTGTATTCATAGTTGAATGTTAGTAACAGGGAATAAATTGTTAAAAAAATAATCAATTTGCTTGTAATGAATAGTATGACGAAGTGAAGCATACAGATGGTTATAAGATAACACAATCATGTTGAAATATGGCATACACACACACACACCATTTTTTTAACCAAAAAATGAATATTTGCCATTTGTACGGAACAAAAGAGTTTCTGGCAATAGGAGCCTAATAATTGAGAAGTTTAATGTTTATTTACACCAGTTGGCAGTAGTGACAATGTGAGAAACAACAAAAGGGGAAGGAAAAAAAAAATGTTTAGTGATGATGGCTAATAAACAAGGGAAAACCTCTTTTTCCCTTTTTGTTGCAGAATGTTCAGAACAAGTGGATAAGAAGAGGGTACTTCACTACAAAGAAGCCCATGTATAGATACAAAATAGAAGTACCCCACAGCCCACAAGGGCTTCAACCCCACTCCCCATGTATAGATACAAAATAGAAGTACCCCACAGCCCACAAGGGCTTCAACCCCACTCCATAGCCAATGTTCCCTTGCAACCACCGCCTAAACCACTATTGCCTCAACCTCAACCGTTCTTTTTTATCTCAGTGGGTCCCTTTGTCAAAAACAATGTTCTTTTTTGTTTGAAATATTAGAATTGCCTGGCTGGTCAATGGAAACTGCTTCCTGAATTATTGTACTTGGACTGGTTTCAGAGTTTTGAGTTTTTGATGTGTTTTTGTCTAAAATGAAAGAAAAGTCAGGAAAAAAGAATTACTTGAAGAAGATTTGGCATGTCACTGCAAGGGACAATACACAGAATTAAGAATCAGAAAGCTGGCGGTGGGAACTTTTTCTTTGTCTGTAATTGCAGGAAAATATAGTCTTTTTTGCTCTAAGAGCATCTCAAGTTGCCTAAATGCCTCCACTAGATGAGTGTAAATAATGATGATAAACAAGCTGCCGAATTAATTTATTGGTACAGGACATGCCTAAAGTAAAGCAAAAGTTATTGACTTTCCCTTGGAAGATTTCAAGCTTTTGGTAGTAAATTCTCAAACCTTCTAAATTATTACTCCATTATGCAGGACTACTGTAACACAATTGCTAAAATAATCACAATATCAGTGTAAGTTTCATGATTGGTTATTCATGAAGCAAATGCCCACCCTTTTTTGTGCTTTTCATGTGGTATTTCGTAGCATTTTAACTGTTTCCCTTTTATCATTGTACCCTTTGGATTTTTGGTTATTGATTAGTATTGAGTACAGAGAAAAATAAATAGTCAAACACGAGTAGGAGAAAGAATCGAAATGGAAGTCGGTGGACTCCAAGAAAATGATATAATTGACCGAAATTGGCGTGCAAATTTATGCTATTATTGTGAAGAATGAAAGCAACAAGGAATTGAAATAAAATTCCAATAACCAAAGGATTGATTCTAAACTTGAAAATTCATGTCATGTAAAATATTTTATATAAAAATTATATATTATAATTTATATTAACATAAAAAATAAAAATTATTTTATTTATTTTATTTAAATTTTAAATTATATTATTTTTATATCTTTTATTCGTATAATCTGTGTATTTCAAATCGTGAGATTCTTTGCTCTAACCAATAAACTTGCACGAAACTGAAGATAGATATATCTGAAGTATTTGGGCTCTAAAATTTGCCATAGATGACAAGGAAACACAAGGATTCCCATTGGAGGAAGCATAAATTGAATGAAAAGGGAAGTTGAAATGAATTCTCCTGTCAGAGGGAAAAAAACAACAGAAAATGGAATTATCATACTTTCTTTTGTTTCCTGAAAAACAAAACTCAAATATTCCAAAATCTGTACCCAACCAAACCCAACTCAGCGCAGGACATTAGGAGCTTTATCGTCCCTGAATTCCGTGGCTTATAGCTCCTATTTTTAGCCCTGAATTTTTTTTCACTCATCCGAAAATCCTTTCCTTAGAATGCACCTTCATTTTTTACCCATAAAAGAATATCACCAGAACTGCTTATGATTCAGAGTCAAACTAAACTCAGCAAAGCAGAAACACATTGATTCACAGATCACTTAAATGAATGTCCAATTCAAAGATAAAGGAAAAAAGGCAATAAAAAGACAAAAAACAATAAAAAAACACACACGCATACAAATAAGATCCCATAAAACTTAATTATCTTAATTTTATTCCCACAAAACCTGGGGAACGTTATCACTGTACATCCCAAACAGTTATACGATCCGGAAAACCTAATAATTCGAAAATCGAGATAGATTTTTTTTAACTCAGTAATTTTCTATAACTCCTAATTCTCAACCACAATAGCCATGCACTTGTCTTTCCTCCTGGTGTCATGGGCGGTATTTTCTTGCATCAGAGTCTTCTTTCTTTCAGCAATGAAACTATCTATTATTAATTGAAACTCTTCACTGCTCATCTCATCCATTGATTTCCTTGGCGGCTCTGTACCTGAAATCACCAGCTCTCTGCTGATCATAGCTGTCTCCGATCTTCTAAACTCCCGCGGACGTTGTTTACGAGATTCTGAAACCATTGATCGAGTTCTTCGATACTCCTTTTGCTTGACTTGATCAGTTGAAGATACGGCAATCTTTGTCTTTGTCACTCTACGGGTCGTTGTAGGTTGTTGTTGTTGTTGTTTAACTGGTGAAAGGGAACGTTTTGTCTCCGTAACTATATCAACTCTAGTCGTACGTTGCCGCTGCTTTACTGGAGAAACAGCAACCACATTTTCTAACAGGACGATTTGCTTGTCCACCATAGTCTCCTCCGTGGAGGTGGAGACGGCGGATGTGGGTATACTCCGGCGAGAACTGACGTACTCATCGTAGATATCAGGGGTGGTGGTATCTTTCTGGGTCTGTTTTTGGCTAGACAAAAGACAAACAGCAAGGATAATGATGTTTACAAGGATGAAAGTGAAGAGAGGATTGTTAAAAGTGGAGATAAAACGTCGGCGAAAATCTACAGCAACCTCGACGGTGTCAGGAATCAAAGTGGGGAACCAAGACCATTGCAGCAAAAACAAAACTAACAAAAACACGATTAAGCGAAGACCGATCCTCAGCGTCCACTCCATGTTGTATCTCCATAGAGCATCTTCTTTCTCTGCCTTAATGTAATCAAATTCAAAGGAACCCATGCTTGTTTAACAAGATAATGAGGGAAATGGAGGGTAAGGTTTAAGGTTGCTTTCAAGAGGGTTATTAAACAGAAAGAAAATTGAAGAAAAACAGAGTTGGAAGCTGGTAGTGAGAGTATTTTTTTGGGTACTTAATAATTTTTGATACGGGGCTTGGGAAACTGCATGATTTGAATAGATTCGAAGGGCTTTATATAAAGGTGGATTGGCCATTGCTTTTGCATTAAATAAAAAAATATATAATCGAAATTATTATTGAACAATGTTGAGCACTGTAGAGAAAGTGAACCCGATGGAACCGGGTCTGAACCAGGGCAGACCCACGCGTGGGGGGAAGAGGGGATTGAGTTAGGTTAGGTGGTGGGCAGATTGCTGACACCACAGGAAAACGGACAGGCCCGAACGGGTCCCAGGATCGCACCAATACTTTGTTTTTCTAATTAAGCTGTGTGGCATGTCTATCTTCCCATATTGAAAAGTAAAAGTGGGTCGTTGCCTTTTAACTTCTTCATTTCTTTCCTAATTTTTGGAATTAAATGAGAATTAAGAATATCAGAAGAGTATATATCGATTATACATTTCCTAATAAAGCATGAAACTCCCTATAGGATTAGTTTTAGATTTGAGATTTTTACATTGTTTACAAAATTAAGCCCTTTTGCAACGCATATTGTCTGATTTTTTGTTATATAACAACTTAATTAGGTTTAATTTGATCAATAATTTTTGGAAAGCATTAATTGGTTAATAAATTAGATGCTAATAGTAAAGTAGTAAATTCATAATATGAGATAATATTTGTTGATATTGAAATTTTCGGATTACATTAGCTATAAGTATTGGCAGGAATGTAGCTAGGGGGCTAGCAGGGTCATGACCCTCTCAAAAAAAATTTTATACCATTGTAGTAAATTTTCTCATCTCGTTAAAAATAATATTTGATCCTTTTTTTTTTAGTAAAATTACTATTTAATCCATTTTTTTTTAGTATTGGTAGCTTTGAGAGTTGACAGCCTATCCTCACTATTGTCATTTGAAAAAAAAATTGATAGAAGAAGGTACCTTTACTTATAAATTGCAGTTCAATTATTAACTATCATTCCCACTAGTACTTTTGGGATGGGAAATAATGAGATTCATCATCAACTTATTTGATGGTCATGCCTATGCATTGAATTCAAGGGATTTTCAAAATACAAAAGATAAAACAATATGATTGTGTACTCCGCAATTTATTATGTTTGTTGAGAGAAAGGTTTTCCATTGGTTTTAGTCCTTGAATTTGAGACCAATATTATAATAGCTAGCTAGTCCTAATTAATTTACATTCAATAATTATAGTTCCAATTTCAAAATAAATTCTAAACATAGTTATCAAAAGCAATAACTAAGTTATTGCATATGGGATATTGTACTTGTATGCATGCCCCAGTATAGAACAAAGTGAACCGAATCCTCTCTTATTTCAATTTCAGAAACCAAGGAGTTAGGAGCCCAGAAGAAGTCAAAATTTCCTGGTTGTCATTTCAACAAGACAAATAATTTAGGGGAAACTTTTTGCCGTATGGAAAAATATTGGAGATTTGCATATCTAATCGATGATAGACATCCTAAAATTGATTGACATTGACCTGATGTGTGGTGGTTTGGTTCTGGAGCTTAATCCTAATGCCTGTGATTTTCATACAATTCTCAATTGTTTGGGAAATGCGTTACTCTTACTCCTTAATCCCACATTTAATCACCGATTATCAGGATTGAGAACTAAAGATGGATACTGATTTCCAACTAGGCAATTCATGAATTAATATAATCACGCATAGACTGTTGCGCCATAGAATAATTCACCTCTTTTTGGTAAAAGCCTTAGTCCATCATATGGGCTATACTTCCTTCTCAGAATTGGCAATGTGTCTCATCAGACTTATTCTCATTTCAATTCTCTTTGGGTACATTTGAAAAGCTGAAAAACTATCACCCTTTAGCTTACATTGGCCACAAAACTCACACTTCACGAATCTCATTTGGCCAAAACATTGTTTCGAGGAACGAAGATGAAAAGGAGATAAAAAAAAAATTTATAATCAAATGTGATCTGATGATAAAATGTTAAATGCCCCCAAAAAAGCTCTTAGTCATGAAAGAATTCTGAACTCAAATGTTATGTGTAGGTTTAGATTATCACATTTGAATTAATGAAGGCAATCGGAAAGGAAAATGAAAAGCAAATAAAAGCTCCAATTTATGCGTGAAATTTCTATCCAATGAGCTTTTGCATGGGAAAATCATGAGTTGTGAAATGGAAGACTCTCAAAGAGACTAAAAACAGGAGAAGGTGTGCTCGTGGTTTGATCGTGGGAAGGTGATGAAATCCATGAAACATTGATTGGTTCAAGCTTTCACTATCTCATAAAAAGTGAAAATGGTTTGGTTGGAAAATCACGCGCGGTTTTCTTCTACAAAAAGAAGAATAAAGCAAGCATGACAAAGTAAATAGTTGAAACGAAAAGGTACGTGAATATCACGTGAGGCATGAACAAACTGTACGTCTCCCACATTCCAATAGTTAATTTTGTTTACTTTAGTAGTTGAACGATTCAAATTAAGATAATTGTCTCAAACTTATAAAATTGATTTGATGATTATCATAATCAATATCACATGACAGGTTTGGAAGTTGAAACAATGCCGATTTTACATGCAAAAATATCAAAATTGATCAGTACTCGTGTCACTTCCGTCTAGTTTTATATTTTTCTTCAGCATAATAATATCAGAAGAATTCAGGGTGATTTTTCATTGCTAGTTGCGATGACTTTGAGTAGTCAAGCAAGGACAAAGAACTCAATGCCAAAAAAGGGAGACTAACAGGTCAAGATCATTGGTTGAGGATAAGAAGAATGGTAATACAATACAAGTCCATGTCACCAGAACTTTCCTCTCTATTTCTCTTTTAATACTTTTAAACTTTGTTTTTCTCTTGATCAAATTAACTTCTTTTAAGTTGGTAATTCTCTCATTGATCAGCAGATGTTGACTTTGTTTAATTACAATTGATCTTCTAAACCAATTAAGGTTAGTAATCTGATGATTATGGTAATCAACTACTATATTTGATTAATATCTTAGTTAAACTGTTAAAAAAAAAAAGAAGAAAAAAGCAATAATGCTGTTTACTTTATTATACTGTTTGATGAATTTCCACTTGACTCATGTCAAGCCAATGGTCGATGTGGAATTGAGCGTCACCTTAAAGAAAAAAGAGCAAAGGGCTCCCGCTTTAGTCTTTTGTTTTAATGAATAATTTAATGGGCTCCAAAGAAAAAAATTATTTGCACCTGTTTTCAACATGAAAGCCTGCTCCTGCTGCTGTAGCTTGTAGGTGCATGGTGTGCTACGAGATGATGAAGGATTTTTCCAGGGGGTTTTTTTCTAAACCAATTGAGGTTGAGAATTCTAACTTTGTGAAGTTCATGGCAATTAAGAAGGGTTTCATTTTCTTTTCTGCTTCTGTTTGGGTTAACTCTCACAATATATATTATACTTAAAATTGATTCTAAAGATGCAATTTTTTAGGTTAATAACCACTGTTATACCCTGACATATGAAACTCATAGCTAATCTTAAATTTAAATTAAAATATGTTTTTTTATTCATAACTTAATCAAAAATTTTGAAAAGAAATCAAGTGGCAATTGGGTTAGCCTTGCAATCCCTTAAAGCTGGAAATTATTATATGTCTGTTGCACATAGACCATAGTTAAGGGAATGAGTAGTAGCTTTGTTATTTCAGAAAGCACAAAGGGTGATGAGAAGAAGTACTTAACCCACCTTTTGGGTGCCGTGATTAATGAATGATTAAGATAATTAGGTAAAGTTAATGTTTGATTGTTCAATTTTTTTTTTTTAGTTTGCTGAGAACAGGTCATATCCAACATGGGTCCCCAGAAATCAATAGGTGATAATACCTCCCTAGTGTTTATCTGGATTGCCAGACCCAACCTATCACATGATCTAACATTTTCTATTCAAACATTTCCAGAGGTCGTCCAAAAATAAAATTAAATTCAAATAAAAACAACCCAATTTCAATTTGGAAGCGATTCGACATTGGTTTACTTTCGGTTAGGAAATTAAGAAAGCCCTCCTGTCCATAAAATACAAAGGTACTCCTTATTGGGTTTTGTCATTGTTTGTGTCTATGTGTCAACTTCAATGTTGGAGCTCAATGCTTTGATTCCGGCAGTCAAGATATTCAAATGTGGAAAAAATGAAGTCCACAATTCACAGATCAAATCAAGCAACGCATTCACATTTATGAATTGATAAGGAAAAGACTTAGGATGTGTTTGATAAAATTGAAAAATTAAGTAATAAATTTTTAATATTAAATTTGATAATTATTGAATTTGAATTATAAAAATTATTTAATATTTTATTAAAGATTAAATGTTGAATATAAATATATTGTTTGATAATGATAAAATATTGACATTTGAAAATTTATCATTTTATATTTTTATTTTTATTTTCATTGCATATAATGAAATAATATTTTTAAGAGATAATTATTCAAAAAAATTTAAAAGAATAATATATTAAAATTTTTTGCATTAGTTGATAAGTAGGTTTGTATCTATTCATCTCATTCACTATTTTTTGATTGAATTTTTTAAAAAATTTTAAAATATATTATCACGCCCTTTGGAAAAAAGGTAAATGATGAAAATTTTTATTTTTAATTAAATAAAAAATTTCAATGATTTATCAAATAAGGCCTTCATAGCCAGTTTCGAGTTTACCTAGTGTTCAAGAAAATTTATTTAACAGGACCTCTCTTTCCTTTAAAGCGCACCGGTTTGATATATATTAAATATATTAAAATATATAAGTTAACTTATATGTAAATAATAAATATTATTTATATTAAATATATTTTAAAAATAAAATTTTCAATTAAACTCGTGAATCGAATATTCTCGATTCGTTACTCTAGTTAGACTCAATGACTGAGTCAAGTTTAAATTTTATAGAGTTATATACTCCCCGACTAACCATGCGAGTCAGTTAACTAGGGGTGCTTTTACTGGATTGTGGAAAAAAAGCTTTGGGTTTACTCCTTAAGAGCTGGCCCTCGGATCAGAGGGAGCATCTATTTGGGCCGAGCTGTTTTCCTTAAATGTTCAATAAGCCCAGCCTTTCTCATACTATTGGGCTAATGGCAATGCAAGAATTTCATTACTGTTCCAGAAGAGAGTGAGCAGCACAACTTGGATTTGCACTCTCTATTGGCAACCAAATTTGCCAAGCAAATTCATCCTTGTCATGTTTTTCAGGTAAAGATTATATTACTACCCAACATTGTTTCTTGGTTTTTTTCTTCTAAAGGAGGATACCCTGAACGGTGGAGTTCAGAAAATTGATTCACCTGTCCCTGATAAGTGACAAGGATAAATGTCATATAAATATCAGCTCCATTGCTGTACTTCCATTTTCAGGTAACAGAAAACAGATATGGCTAAGTTATTTGGTCGTCTACCAACCTATACCTTCCTTTTGATCTTTTTTTCTCCTCCTGGTTTACTCTGGATCTTATTTTATAATGGTTACCTCTTCATTTTGATCCATGTACAAGAATATAGATATATAACTTGAACGAATTGTGGAATGCAGAGATGCGACGCACAAAATTGCCAGAGGCAGATTACAACTTGGTCAGGTTTTTGTGGGAACTCTCGCCATTGCAACCATCAACGCAGGAGTTGGGAAGGTGCCTTACATGGAGCCTGTCGTCACCAATTCTTAGGATTTGCATGTTTTTGCTACGTTAGATGTTGATCGATCACCTTGAATATTGCTCCTGATAGCAGTGTTATTTTCTCATTCACTTGTACTTGAATGTTGCATAGTGCTTTGTAATCTTTTTTTTTAATAGTTGCTTGAATGAATAACAAACACTACATTTATTAAAAAAAAAAAAGTAAATTCATAAAACACTGGAATCACTCTTGTAAAACTGGTGTGATTACAGAAACTGTCATGGCTGATTGTTCTCTTATTCTTGCTAAAAAAAAAAAAAAACCAGCCTATTATGTTTCTTCAAGAGAACACAAAATGGAAGTGAACATTCATTTCTACCAAAAACACAAATTCCAGGTGTATATCTGCATAAGGAGAACTAAAACTTAGGCTTAGTTTCCTAGAAACATGTAACAAACAAAAGGATTGAACTAATAGAAAAGAGAAAATATTTATCCAAGATCTGTAGTATTATTATTCCTGTACATTCTTTTCATCCACTCAATCTGATCATCAAGTGATTGAATGAACGGAGTGGACCAACTAATCCGAAGTGCTTATCAGAAAACGTATCCCTTCCTTGTCATGAACATTCTCTTGCATCATTACCTTGTTCCTTTCAGCAACGAAAGCCTCTACTGCAAACCTGAACTCTTCATTGCTCATAACATCCATTGATCTCCATGGCGGTTCTCTCGTTGTGATAACCAATTCTTTGCTCATCCCTCTCTCCGATCTCCTGAACTCTAACTGACCATGATTTCGTTCCAAACTCTCATAATTTTCCGAACTAACAGCCACAATTTCCCTACCAGCATTCTCCACTAGGATGATATGCTTGTCCACAAACATCTCTTCGGAGTGTTCCTCCTCAGGAAGACAGTCACCAACGTCGGGGTTGCCCCGATTAGACCCCACATTTTCATGATAAACAAGCAAAGGCCGCTGTGACTGTTTTTGGCTAGACAGAAAGCAAAGAGCAAAGATGATGAAGTTCATAAAGATGAAAATGGGCAAGGGCTTGTTTGAAACAGCGATGAATTCTCGGCATAGATCTCTAGCGATATCGAAATGAGTAGATAACCAAAAGAATAACACCAAGACCAAGACAATCTTGCGCAAGGGAACACCATTGCTCTTGTGTTTTCGCTGCTTGTCATTGTATGAGTATTCGTCCATCGAGGTCGCCATGCATCTCAGCTTAACCATAACCAAATCCAAAAAAAGACCCAAATTTAATATTTCTTTCTATCTGAAATCGAATTTAAAGGCTTTTGAACGCCTAATTATTAGAACTTAACAGTGCCTTGTATTTGTAAGGAAAATGAATGGAACTTGGAAGTTACGGGATCAAGTATGAAGATTTGCCAATGTCGACAAAGGGCAAGAAAATCAATGGAAACAGAGTTGGAAACCTGGGACATATACTATACTTTTGTAAGTTTTGGTACGGGGATCAATTGAAAAAAAAAACAAAGTGATGATTGGGGTTGCTGTTAGAGTAAGAAACGCGTAATAATCATATTGAATTTTGACAATTTCTAGTCCGTTTAATTGTTGATGTAATTTTGGTATTTTCCAGGGTGTTTCACAATTCTATTTCTGAAAGTAATTTTTATTTTAGCTTGTATATTGTCAAATATGAAGGCTAAGCTAGCTGGTATTGCTGCGTGTATCATTTTGACTGGATTTGAGCAGCCTAACTTTAAACTAATAAAATATTTAGGATTTTTTTATCATTGTTAACATTTTTTGTAAAGAATGTCACAGTATTTGAATAGGAAAATAAGCTACAAAGACTTGAATTTAAACTTCAAACCTACATATTAGATGTCACTTTTTTAGGATGATAATATAAACTAACTGAATTAAACTCTAAATTTTAATTCAATGTTATTTTCACTATTTTAAATTATGATATCCCTTGATTTATCACTTTAATTGATCCAATAACCATAGGAAAAAGACCTTAAGATATACTAAACATATTAATAGGCTACACACTGACCTCTTTTTTTTTTTTCAAATTTTCCAAAACAAAAAAGGAAGATTTTGGATTTCTCACTAGAATTTTCTTTTCTTTTTCTTTTCTTTCAGGATTTCATGTACTTGTGCGGCCATAGAACTTTGACTTTTAATTTAATTTGGAAAATGAAAGAGTAAAGGTTTTGAAAATTGTATACCGAAGAGGAAAAAAATGAAGAACCAATGAGTTGACAAATAGAATTAAAAGAGAGATAACTCTGAAATCTCAACTTGCAAGTTTGTTTTCCTTAGCTTGAAAAAATATAATCACCAAAAACACAAGCAAGGTTGAATATAAATTACTAATATGAATTTCCAAGCATTTACGTGGAGTTATATAGGAAAGCAATGAGCTTCTAGAAATAAGAAACTCAAAGAATGAGAAGATACTAAAGCTAGCTCCATTGTGAACAGGTGCTAAAGGTTTGTGGATGTGAATGAAATTCATAAAACACTAAGTAAATGACTGCTTTCAATTTGGGGTGAATTTGGCTCACAGTTCACTGACCTTTTCTATTATGACTATAAAGCATATCCTTACAGCCCCCATTATTCATCATCTGCCTTAGTTTTCCTTTCTTGTACTTTTCTTTTATACGAGTGCAAAACCTAGAACTCATCCACAATACCTGTTGAAGCTGATTCGGAACCTAAAAACTTAGCTTTTAGGTTAGGATGAAGCCAACAAAAATTCAAGTGAGAAAAGAAAAGCCAAATGATTTGATAATAGAGATTCAATTCAACCAAAAAAGAATATTTAGTTTTATCAGAAGTTCCAGTGCTACTGTCATGTGCCTAAACCTAACAATCAGAATAATTAACATGACCAAATTCATAAATTTTCAAAAGACTAAAGTGCCAATTTTGGTACCCTGTTGTTAGCCAAGTCCAACCACATTCATAATCAAGCATAATATCAAACACAAACCAAGCATTTCGGTACCAAATCATTGACAATTTTGAATTAAAAAAAGGAAATCAATCCCAGTTACTATCAATGAATCTACTTTTTCTTGCCGCCTTTACCAGCTGACTTTCCCTTAGTGGGCAAAACAATCTCACCCTTAAGCACAGGGATCTCCATGATCTCAGACAACTGCCCATACTTCCTACGGAACTTCTCGACCTGGTCAGCCTCCACAAGAACAGCCGACCTGTTTCCCAGGTAAAAAGGATGGTTCCCCGACCAAACATCCACCACGTACTCCTTCTGGGTCCCACCTGTTGTCATCACTAATTCTCCATTGCAATAAACCTTAGCATCCTCGTAGAATTCCGGGTGAATGCCTTTCTTCCGACACGTCACTTGTGGCCTATAGCTCCTTCCCGTTGCAGTCACAGCCTGCTAAGAAAAAAAGAGAAAACTGATTAATTGGATGATTAAGGAGTTAAGATGGGATTAAAGGGGAGTATGGGTTAGGATTATTTACCTTCCTAGTGGCGAGGGAAGGAAGAAGAGACGGTTTGATTTGGAGAAATGGGTTCGAGAGAGTTAGCGCCATTTCTTCTCTGGTTTTACTGGGTGTTGCAAAGGGATAGAAACGGGATGGAGTTTTTGGTGATGGAGAGCCACTGCTTTCTGTTTCTTTAAATGGGCTAAGGTCGAATACACTAAATTATTGGGCTACAAATGAGTTTCAAAGGTCAGTGGTTAAAATGAGTTTGGGGCTGTAATTTGGTTGAAAGCATTGGGTTTGGACTAGGTTAGAATCTGGGGCGTTTTAATATGTTACGAAAGCCACCGCTAAAACTATTTCTCAAATGACAAGCACAGAGATACTGAGAAGGCGACACACATGGCAAATATCAGCCGGCCTGCGTCTGTCCCTCTGGCTCATCACCACCCACCAGTCACACATGTCGCTCTCAAATTGACGACGGCCTTAGACGGGTTGTCTTCGCCACCGCAACGTGGCTATTCCTACTACTGCCGAAAGAATCTCAAAAGCTTGAAATATAGTCCCTACAAATTAATCTGAACTCTAGGTTTAATGGACCGTTTCAGCATTTTTTTTTTTAAGACATAGGAAGTGCAAAGAGTCGTTTCAATTTATGAAAATTCTCATGTAGACTTAGAAAAACTCTTATAATTAGGAAGGATTAGATTCAAATTTTGGAGTCTTAATTATTTTTTTTGACATTTGAGTTAAAACATTATAGTACTAATAATAAAAGCATTAAATTTGTGCTTATACAAGTAATTAGATTTTTTGCTTTTCTTTTGCTCCTATTACTATTTTTTTTTTCGATAATTTACTTTAAAAAACATATTTTTTCAAGAAGGATTATCATTACAATCGAAGGTTCTTAATCAAGTACCCTAATTATATTTCTTGGTTCGATGATTAGGAAAAGAAAACGTCGAAGAATAAAAGAACTAAAGAATACAACTTTCTTGGTTACAAAATACTAGTAATACAAATTATTAAAGAATATTTTATTCTCATAGATTCTTAACATAGAAGTCAGAAAAATGAATACTCTCTGATTAATACTCTAAATACACTTAATAAATGAAAATTTCATTTTCTGCCCAGTGCCTCTGGAAAACGGCAGAGCAGACGCTGGAAAATCAGAGTCTCAGTCAGATTACAGGGCAAAGAAAACGTAATTATACTCTCATGACGGCTCACAAGTCAATCTGTGAAAGATTTATGATATCAACAATCATTGCTTTCTCTTGTCTCTTCCCACTTGCTTATTTCCACTTTCAATTCAACCAAAAGAGCTTTCTTTTAAATCTTTAATCAAAACTTTTAATTATCCATTTCTCTTCTTCCACAAATTTTTTGTGATCCGAGAAGCTTCAGCTAAATGCTAATGCTTTAAGAAACAGAAAATAAAGGATCTATTTTGCATATGGGTTCTTTGGTTTAGAGTTATTCTCGGATCTGGGTGTTTCCAATATTGGATTTTTTTAACGTAGACATGTTCTAACGTCGTCTCAGCTTTTTAATCTCTTTGATCAGTGTTCTTATACATTTTATGGCCATGAAAATTTGGGACCACTAACAAATAGTTTCGCTCTTTATCTTTTTTTTTTTTCAAATTTCTCTACTAAAGATTCAATTTTTGCCGAGTTATAATATTTTAAAATTTTGTTTCTTTTTCTTTTTCCTGTTAGAATCATCTGTATTTTTTTTCTTGGTTTATTGATAAATTAATTCAGCTGTGGAATCTTGCTGCATGGCACTCAAGGCTAATGCCAATCCGATTAATATTAGCACCGTTTTCTGGGGTGAGATATCAGGGGAGGCCTTAAAAGCAGGGATTTTCGAGCACAGTTATGGAAGAGCTTCAGAGCTGAAAATGGTGTCAAAAAAGCTAAGTCTGGAATCGATTACTCTGTTCTCACCGCAGATATTGACAAGGAGACTCTGGTGAGTACAAGAAAGTGTTTTTAATGTTATGTTTGTTCCAAGGATTAAACAACTAGTAGTTAGATATCTTACAGTAAAATTTTCTGATTATCTGATAAAAATCTTTTTTTTTTTAAATGTAGGCATTTGATCATTACTAAGCATTTGAATCTTTTGATTCTCAGAAGTTTCAGGCACCAATGTTTGAGACTCCACAAGTAGATCCAAAGAATGTGGCTTCCATCATATTGGGTGGCGGTGCTGGGACACGCCTCTTTCCTCTTACTGGCCAAAGAGCTAAGCCAGCAGTAAGAAACCATTGCCCAGAGAAAGTTTAAAACTTTTTTTTATTTTTTGAAAGTAAACATTTTCTCTTCATGAAGAAAATTAAACCCAATTATTAAGTTTGAAGTCACATGATTGGTGGGTTTTAATAAAATAAACTCCTTAAAGTTTTTAGATTTAAGTTTGCTGGGGTTTTGTTTGGTTTGCAGGTTCCAATTGGAGGTTGTTACAGGCTGATTGATGTTCCAATAAGCAACTGTATCAACAGTGGCATAAAAAAGATATTTATCCTAACCCAGTTTAATTCCTTTTCCCTCAACCACACTTAGCTCGGACATATAACTTTGGAAACGGTGTAAATTTTGGAGATGGTTTTGTGGAGGTATGCCATGTTGATTTAGCAACAGTAGGAGAGATATTGAAATTATGCATATTATTAATTGAGGTTTTGCATCTCATTCAGAAATCCATGATTCTGTGCCGATTATGACTTTACAATTTCCATCCCCAGGAAGTTTAATTGTTTTCTGAAAGTTTTGATGAAGCTATGTCATCTGTAACTGGTTCTGGCAGCCACTCTAACACCAGGAGAAGCAGGGAATAAGTGGTTCCAAGGAACAACTGATGCTGTGAGGCAATTTGTTTGGGTCTTTGAGGTTGGTTACAAGGATTTGTATTTGAGCTGAAATCATCCGACTGAACCCTGAGCCTGAAGTTCACCATATATGATTTATGTTACTGCCAGGATACAAAAGCTAAAGATGTGCAGCATGAACGATATTGTCTGGTGATCATCTTTACCGGGCAGACTACATGGATTTTGTTCAGGTACTTAGTTCAATTGCTAGGAGCCGTAATATAGCATTTAAAGCTTTTTCTTTTCTCTTTCTTATGCATGGAGATTGTAACTTGAAAAACATCGGTCTAATCCACAGTTATTGTTCTTGAAGAAGCATATTGACTCAAATGCTGATATCACAGTCTCATGTTTACCAATGGATGATTCTCTTACCGTAACATGTAAGTTACAGGGAACTGAAATTTCTTACTATCAAGTTTCTCAATATTTCAATATTGATCCTCTATCTGGCTTTTAGATTCTTTTAGCATTGCTCATCTGTATCTGTTGCTCAGAACATTAAGTATATATATTGATTGTTTTCCTTCAGAACTTGGGAATTAACTTCATTCTTTTTGTAGCCGTGCATCAGATTATGGATTGATGAAGATAGATGAAACAGGATGGATCGTCCGGTTTGCCCAAAATCCAAAGGGTCCCAATCTTAAAGCTATGGTACATGCTTTTACTACTTATCACCTCTTAACCCATATTTCCATGATTTTGTTGTTTTCAAACATTGTAAGTTTCCTGATAATAAAAGCTATAACTGTAAGTTTACTGGTATCAGTAATTTCCTCTAATCTGTGATCTTGCTTGTTTCACATTCATGCTATAGCAAGTTGATACCTCCATGCGAAGGACTATCAGAGCCAGATGCTGCAAGATATCCATACATCGCATCAATGGGTGTGTATGTGCTTAAAACTGATGTCTTGTTAAAGCTTCTGACACGGAGCTATCCATCATGCATTGACTTTGGCTTTGAGATTATTCCATCAGCTGTAAAGGAACAAAATGTCCAGGTAAGATGGCTTTCGCAAGAACTTTTATCTTCAGTTTTCTCTGTGAACTTTTCAATAGTAATCAGTTGTTATTTTTTGCAATAATGAGGACTTACTAGTCTGGTGATCAGATTGCTGATTTTCTTGATGTTCGAATATTTGCAGGCATATTTGTTCAATGACTATTGGGAAGACATTGGGACAATAAAATCCTTATTTGATGCCAATTTAGCGCTCACAGAACAGGTTGCTCTCACTTTTGTTTAAAAGTTTAACCTTTTATTTGATTTACTGGTCAACACAGATACTAAATCCCCATTTATCCGCTTGCAACAACCCAACAAGTATAAGATCTTAAAGAAGATGGCTGCAATGACAGAAGTTTGCTTATTTTTTTAATAGTTCTGCTAAATAAATAAAGATCTTCTGATTAAGATGCTGCCATGTCATGTTTGCATATAGATATGGAAATCATTTGCATTTCACTTGGTATGTTACACTGTGGGACACCTCTGTTATCCCACCCAAGTACCCGTCATAAGCCTAACCTGGCATTTGGTATCCTTTTCCCGAAAACTGATTGTTTTTGTGTTCTCCATGCAGCTACCAAAGTTTGAATTTTATGATCCAAGACACCTTTCTATACATCTCCAAGATTCTTGCCTCCTACCAAAGTTGATAAATGCAGGGTATAGCTTCAAGCTTTAGTTTATATCATGATTAATCACTTGGTAGTCTTATCTTATGGCTAATTGGCATTGCAGATTGTTGATGCTATTATTTCACATGCTTGTTTCTTGCGAGAATGTAGTGTACAACACTCTATAGTTGGTGTTCGCTCACGTTTGGAGTCTGGCGTTGAGCTTGAGGTGATCCAACATCTTATCTTTCCCATAGAAAAGTATGTAACAAGGGCTTAGAAGCACCATTTTTTGATGCAAACTGCATTTCAGAATCTCTTTCTGGTCCTAAGCTTTTTTTATCATTCTGGCCCATCACTAATTGGTCGATTTAGAGTTAGTAATGCCATTGACTACACTCTGAGAAGATCCTAGACAATCTACTTGGCACCACAAGAGGCAAATTATGGAGATGAACATATAATAGGAAGAAACAATTGAACCGGGTATGGAGATATTTCAGTTGCCTCAACAGTTCTGAATGATTGTAGCAATCAATTTAGATTTTTCTGGTGCAAAAAGTTCCAAAATCACCTAAATGATGCGTAAGATCATACGATTATCCGGTCAAGCAGTGAGCAGTAGCACTAAGCAGATTATAATTACTGGCTCTGAATAAAAAATACAAGTGGCCATTGTTAGTCTTCATCTGTTGCGCCAAGCAACCTAGAATGCGCACATAGTTTTAAGCTTGTGCTGTTTATAAACTAATTTCTTTTAAAGGTGCTTACATTTAATTTATCTAAAAGCTTTACAATTCATCTCCATATCTCTGGATTTAGAAAATACCTTCATATGTTTTCTTTGCAGGATACCATGATGATGGGAGCAGACTACTACCAAACTGAGCCGGAAATGGCTTCTCTGCTAGCAGAAGGAAAGGTTCCCATAAATGTTGGATAGAATACCAAGATCAAGTAAGAGATTCAGATTGAAAAACCGCCTCTATCACCCAGCGGTACCTAATTTTTTCACTCTAAAATATTCTCATTGATCATCTCCATCGTTTAGAAGATGTCTGTGTTTAAAATAATTCCTTACCCTATTGACTAAAGACTTCTTGCTATTCTGTTTTGGCAGGAATTGCATAATTGACAAGAATGCCAAGATAGGAAAAGATGTGATTATATCAAATAGTGATGTAAGTATTGTTTCCCTTGCTTCTATGAATGTAGAATGCTTGTTCCCTTAATAATTTTAATTTACTTTGACCACTCAGGCTGTTGAAGAAGCTGAGAGACTGGAAAATGGGTTTTACATTAGGTCTGGGATCACAGTCATACTGAAGAATGCAACAATTAAAGATGGAACCGTGATACAAAATTTTTGAATCCTTCCAGAGGCTGCTCTCTTTTGAGCCACCGATGACGGAAAACTGGGAGCCCTATCTGCTGTCTTTTGCTGTTTTGCAGTGTTTTGCAGCGAAAATATAGGAATAATGCTTTGTAAATGTAAACTATAACTTCCTATGCAATTTTCAAAGAAAATCAAATGCCATTTGCTTTATTTATCTCTTCTTGCATTCATTTAGTAGCTGAAAACACCATTTTAGCTTACAGACCAAAATAAGTTGGTTCATCAGATTAGTACTTAATCACAGAATCTATTACACTTTAGCTTCAATGATTACAACTCATTTCTAGGAGAGAATTCACTTCCTTATAAGGACATTAACTTAAAAACTTTTTCTTTGACATTTACTGATCAAACACTACAATAAGTTTTCTTTCTCAATTTCCTGTATTACTGAAACCGTTCCCAGCCCACCATTGTGCCCTTCTGATATCCCTTGCTCTCTTCCATTTCTCGATGTTCCTCAACCTTACATACATCTTTCTAATCCTATTAAGTTTCTGAGACTCTTGAGTAATGATGTTGACAGTTGAGGTGCTTTCGCTCATGATTACCTCGTACCCATCTCGGAAGGAGTCCATTCCTTCGGCAAGGAGTTGCCAGAACAATCCACCTATGGCTGCACCTCCACCCCTGGCTGATGAGTAAATTGCTGTGTAAACTGTGTTGAACAGCTCGTCTCTTTGGTTAAGACCGGAAATTTTCAATGATTTTCCAAATTCAGCAAAGAGCACAGGCTTTTGAATGATGTTCTGAGCATCTTGGATGTGATTGGTCAGCCAATTGTTCAAGAAGGAAATTTGGGTTTCATCACTTGAGCTTTGTAACCTGCTCAAACAAGCAAATTGTTCAGGTTCAGGGAAGGATTTGATGCATTGGATTTGACTTCTAAGTGGAAAATTTCTACTGATAACATATATTACCATTGATCAGGATAAGAATGAACTGTAGCAAAGTCAATCCCAGGTATCTGATTGTTTGCAACAAAATCAGTTCCGACTTGAAAGTTCGGATTATATTGCTGCTTTTGAGATGATGAAGGCCCATAAAACCCTTCCAAACCAGCTTCTAGCAAGTGATTTCCATCAATGGACTTCACATGAGAAGCCATTTCTGTAATCCATGCCTGTTCAACAAACACAATCATGCTGTTGCCATTGGTGAATCAATAAAATATATGTAACCTTACCTACTTAGGGTAAACCAACTCAAATAATGGAGTAGGTTCCCACTTCCCAGTCCCACCACCATATATTTGAATATGGGAGACAGGCTAAATCCATAGAAAAACATGCCACTAAAGTTTTGCAGTTACAACTTCCAACGCCACTTTAATGGATTTCATGGGAAAAGCAAAAGGCACTACCTAAAAACTAAGACCATTGCATTAAAAATTCTAGACAGTAAATTGTTTTAGGACTTTATCAAAAATAATGTATTGAAAAGTCATTTCTAGATGGAAAAAACGAGAGGAAACACAATGAAATTCAGAATATAAATAAATATGTTTTTGGAAAAATGAAACAAAAACAAAGTAGCATTGAAGTAAAAGAGCTTGAGGATATAAATATAAATATATATATATATATATATTTATATGTATTCCTTACCTGCATGGTCGTTCCTGATGGATCCGAGAGACACCTGGGCTCATTCATAAGCTCCCACGCCATTATTGTTGGTTCATCTTTGTAAGCCACTCCAGTCAGGCTGTTATGTCTTGTAAGAACAGTCTATTGCATCACCCCCCCCCCCCACCAAAAAAAAAAGAAAAAAAAAAAAAGAAAGAGGAGTTATTAAATGAGTTGAATTTAGAAAAGTGACCATTTCCAATTTATTTTCTAATTATTAAGAAATTAATCTCAAGGCATGATGTAGACAATATCATCAATTTAAAACCAATTAAACTCCTACATGAATGAATGATGAATCCTTTCATTGAAAAATAAGGGCAAAAATAAAAAGCTTGCACTTGCAGCAATTGCATGGAAGTTGTTTTTCTGTCTGGAGAAAAGAAATACAGTATTAAATACAGAAAAGAAAAGGTTTTAATTTCACCAGCTTGGTGCCATTTCTGTAACTGTCACTCAGAGTCACAGAAAGAAGAAGAAATTAAAGATGAAAGAGCAAGCAAGCATGTAAAATGTTTATATCCTCTGACAGAGACAGAGATTGGAGAAAACAGTGACTGACCTTGATATGGTTCTTGTAATATTCCTTCACAATAGAGTTTGTAAAGAAATCATCATCAGAGCCAATGGATTGTCCTTGATTTCTTGCCCAGTTTACATACTGTTTTTTCCCTCCAAACTGATCATAGTTATTCACAAAACTTAAAACTAGCTTAATCCCATAACTCTTTGCCTCAGATACTACAAAATCCAATCCCTTCAAGGAACAAAAGAAAAGAAATCAGAACCCAGATCATGGCAAGAAATGGACCAAACTTTTAATCAGAAAGCATAAATAAATAAATAAATATATATATATTTGAACCTGGAACATTTGCTCATTATAGGAGCCAGGTGAGTATTGAAGAGGTCTGTCTCCACCATCACTGAAAGCCCAAGTTCTGGCTATGTTGAGGCCATGTTGTTTAGCTTGTTGAAATGCAGTTGAGACTTTGTTTTTCTGAGATGGATCAGCAGCCATGTACATAAGCCAATAAGCATTGAACCCATTTGCATAGAACGGGCTTCCATTCAGCATTAGTTGCACGCCTCTAGTTTTGACAAACCCATCATCAGCTTTCACATGCAGAACAATTCCTTGCTCTTGAAACAAGAGAAAAACAAACAAAATTAGACCCCAATGCTTCATCTCTCTCTCTCAAATGCAGCAAAGAAGCAAATAAAAAAATTAACACAAAAAGAGACTATGGAGGGTTATTTTGGGTTAGAAGTAGAGGTCACTCTATTTTACTTCTTTTTTAAAAAATTAAAAGTAATACTTAAAATATATGGTTGAGAATTGAGATATTCCTAAATTCCGCCATGGTTGTTTTCTTCACTAATTAACTTACCATCGTTGGTTTCTTTAACAAAATAGGATCTGAAAAACCTTTAGTGCCCTTATTTAGGGCGGTACCCCAAAAGAAAAGATGGGATTCGTATGTCTTATTGACACTTGACAGGCTATGGCCGTCCATTTCACTCCTACTTAGCTAGTGCCCTGTTACTTTCTAGATCCTTCCCGTGAATGTGTCAAAAAACCAATGCTAGTAACGTTGGTGTTACTGTTGTACTTTCAATCCATGGAAACGAAGCAACCATGAAATTCAACACGAATTTTGTTCATGTTGTTTGCTGGGATTGATCCATTTATCTTTGTCCTGATGAATCCTGACAGGTCACGGTTTCAGAGTTTGGTTCTACGATAAAAAGAAAACGCAAGTGCAACACCAATTTGTCAGAGCTCAGAATGTGAGACAGATAATACTAGTAGATTAACATGGCCACTCGCTCCGAACATAATAGAATTCTCTTTTACCTGTGTTCTTCTTTTCAGCGTGAAATTGAACATCTTTTTTAAATCCACAATTTTGAAATATGATAGAAAATATATATAATTTAAAATTTTAATAAAAATATATATTTCTGATGTATTATATAAATTATGGTGTAATAATTTTTATATTATATATATTTAATATAAAATAAAAAATAAATATACAAATCATTGTATCTAAATTTTCATTACATGTTGGTAAGTACAAAAAATATTATAAATCAAAAGGAAGAGGATTTGTAGCTTTTTTTGGTTTACCCACTCTCATTTGGCAAAGTCGAAGTACCTAAAACCATCACTTATTTAGCGTACATCACGGCGGCATTTGGAATAAAAAAACAAAGCTTTCAACCGGGGAAAATCCTGACCATGCAAAAGCAGGTCCATGGAAACTGCGTCAAATTACCAAATCTTAATCATCAATCTTGATTAAAAAAATCTAATACTAAATACTTGTTTTCTGCTACATCAAGAGGTTGGATTTGATTATAATGTTCTTTATTTATGGAATTACTTTTGTTTTCTTATATAAACATACGAATGGAGACAAAAAATAAAAGAGTCAAAGTCACAAGGATAGCCCAAAGCAAAAGGTAAAGAATAAAGGGGAAAAACAATCTTCCAATGTTGAAAAAAAAAAGGTTAAAGGAGGGAGGTGATGTGGGTCCTCCATTTTTTTTCATTGCTCCATCGAAATTGTTTGTTGTTGGAGGCTTAATCACGATGTCACGCTTTGCATAAAATTGATGTATTTAAAATTTTATTATCAAAATATATTTTTCAAATATTTAGATTTGGAATACACCAAATTTTTGCTCTTTTCATTTCCTAAACAAATTTGCAATTATCAAAATGATAATGTCTTATATGCCAAAATCAATTGGTAACTCGGATTTTTGAAAACTTTACATTATAATCAACATATCATGTTAACATTGTTGGGAATCATGTTAATCCTAAGAGTGTAATATTTATTTTCTGCTGTCCAAAAAAAATATCTATTTTCCAGTACATGTATCTTTCACTACTTTTAAAGTCTTAGTTTAGATTTCATCATCTTGTGATGTGATTGAATTTATTGTATTATTATTAAATTTAAATATCAAATTTTTTGAAATTTATTTAATATATTTTTTATTAAAATTTTTTAATTACAATTATAATAATTTTTTAAAAAATTATAATTATAATAATTATTATTATTTTTAATCTCATTAAAATCAATTTTTTCACTGATACAAATGGAACCAAAGTTATCTGCCTTTAGCAAACAAATAGTGCAAAAAGGGTGTTAAAAATATAAAATTTGGTTTTCCTGTTAAAGATGCCAAGCACCGACTTCGCACCCCGCGTGATTTCATAATCCCAACAGTGGCGTGTTTGCTGGGGGTCCATTTGGAGACCTCCAAAGTCCAATGGGCTCGTAAATGGACCCTGATTCATGGCTTCAAGACCACAGCGTTCATGGGAGTGCAGGGATCTCGTCCTTTTGTCCGCTTCATCAATTCATTAAGTTTCTAACTGTCCAATTCCATTGTATTTCGTTTTCAATTCCATTTACAAGAATCTTTCGTATTTATAATTTGTCTTATCAGTCAATTTTTAGCAGAAAAATGTTTCTCCATTTAAGTCGGTGCTTACGGCTAAGGTTAATTAGCACAAGATTGTTACTGTCACCACTAAAAATGTGATATTTTCAAATTTAATTTAATTCAATTAATTTACATAATTATTTTTAAAAAATAATATTAAATAAATTTAAAAGTTAAAATATTTTTTATCTTTAAATTGCGATTTTTTTTCAGATGTTTTGAAGATATCGTGCAATTGAATAAATTTTTTATGACATGACTGATGTAGATGGAGATGGCGGTGCAGGAGCCAATTATGGATGTGTAGCTACAGCGCACCCTAACTAAACCAAATGCATTGAAGAATGATGGATATTGGATAACTTAAACATTGTTCATACAGGGGCATGATGGACCCACAAAGGCCATATATATACATTTATCTAATCTTGTCAAGATAAATGTAAAAACTGGCTCATCTGACTAAATTTATGAGCTATGCTGCCCATTTTAGTGGGTCTGCCGTTTCACGGCTGCCACACTGAACTGGGCCCATGAAATATGAAGTGATTCAAGAACTAGTTTTTAAATTAAGGGTGTCATTTTCTCTTGGCCAGTCTAATGTAGACTATAGGCAAATTAAATTAATGTGTTAAAAATTACAAAAAGAAAAGATTGTGTTAAATATCATTTAACGTTTCTCCCAATAGGCCAATAGCTCTTGGAAAGCATAAAAAATTAACAACTGTCCATCTAGAAGTGGACGGTGTTGATATAATAGTACACAAGTGGATGAGAGTTGAACTTGAAACCATTGTAAACAGTTTTCATATATAATAAAAAGCACCCAACTGGGAAAAAATATAACTGACTTTTTTTTAATATTTTTCATTGGCCCATCAATTAACATGTGAAAATCAATTGATTGGGGAAAAAGGTTGATTTCCATTCCCAATAATTCTCTAGTTGGACTATAGTAATTTCCAGGTAAAACCAAAGTAATGAAACATGGAACAGTCCAATGGAATATACATAAATAAATGGATATCTAATTCCAGAGAAGAAACCTTAAACTTTTGCATCAATGGGTTCCATTCCAAGCACTATAATCTTTGACATTCTAATTCGACTTCCAATAAAATCTTTAGCAAGATTCAAGACCTAAAACAAGCTTTGTCTCTCTTTCATCACGGATCCACATTTTATCGATGCCCACTTCAAGAATGGTACTGCAAATAAGGCTAGTAATCTTTGCTTAATCCTTTCGTGCATGGAGCATCGAAATCTTAATTGCATAATTCACTTCCTCACCGTCAAAGACGACAATTATGAGCCTGCACTTCTTGAATACTCTGCTCCTGTAAGTTTTGACTCTCACCAAGTTTTACCTTCTTGCAATGGTTTGGTCTGCTTTTATGGTCTTCGTGGTAGTGTTCATGTTTGCAACCCTAGCACCAAAGATATAGTCAGACTCCCTGATATTAATGCTGAAGGCGTTCGGTCTTTAGGCTGTGGGTTTGGGTTTGACGAAATGAGTGGTAAGTATAAAGTTATTAAGTTCTTGGAGCCTTTGGAAGCAGACTTTTCTGTGGATAATCTCAGGATTGAAATATTTACCATGGGCAATGATTCTTGGGGGAAAATAAGGTACAATCCTAGTTTTGGCTTTCTACATCATGAACCACCGGTGTTTGCTGGTGGGTTCTTTTACTGGATTTCAGCTGATTTTAATCCTGGTAGTCCATCTTGTTTCTTAATTGTTTCATTTGATGTTGGAAAAGAAATCTTTGAAGCCATTTCTCCACCAGAAAGTATTTCAGAAAAGAATTGGTATAACTTGTATCTAGTGGAATTGAGTGGGGAATTATGCTTGGTGGACTTAGATTATGAATTGGATGAAGACAGGAAAAAGTTGGAAATTTGGATCTTCAAAGGAATTGTTGAGAAGAAAGAGCATTGGATGAAAGAAACTATTGTTCATGAATCAGAACCTATTGATACCACTCGTCCAGTGGCGTTTAATGGTAAGGAAATTTTACTGCATGGATTTATCAAAGGCCTGGGTCACTTGAACTGGTACAATTTGCAAACTGGTTGTTTTAGGCAACTGAAAATCAAAGGTATTCCTTCGCAATATTGTCACGCAAGCCATCATGTGGAAAGCCTTTTCCAGGTTGGCCATTAATCCATGTCAAATCCAGTTCGGTCTATATATGGCTTGGCAAATGGAGAATACATAAAGCTAACGAATTTTCATCCAGGGTAAGCCAATGTCCCGGGCGTAGACTTGCTTGAAACTTCACTTTCATTTGGTTACAACTCTGGCCACTATTGCTAGTTCCTCTCTTTGTAATCATCAAAAAATAACTAGTTTTCCTCAAGTTGTTTCCGTATTCCCCTTTAATGGATTGGTCTGTGAAGATTCTGTGGTTTTCAAATTGCAATCTGATTCAAACAGTAGTCCCCCTCCCTTCTTGCTTTTCCTTAATATCTTCCCGAATGAAATGTTTTAGAGATAATCTTTTTAATATTTCTAACGCGATATTCTGCCACAAGTCGTTCTCACTCATTCAAGGGTATTAATAAGCTCCTGAAACAAAATTGGGCATGAAAAAGGTTTCCTTTACTGTATTGGCGCTCTCCTCCAGTTTGCTCTATGCACATGACTCGCTTTGGTCCTACTGATCCAATTCGTAGAGTAAAATTAGATTCCCACGAAAGGCCCAATGAGATGTCCCAAGCGTAGACCAATTATCTGCTTAAACCTTCAACTACCAGTCTACTACTCTTTTGTTTTGATGAGTACGTTACAACTCCAAAGAACTCGTATCCAGCCAAAAAAACTTGATGAGAATACTCATACTACTAAATGATTACTATTGACTTAACTGTGACGCCTTCAATATGATATTGTAATATTTTGAAATTTTATTATAATATATAAATAAAAATTTAAATTTAAATTTATAATATATTTTTTATGAAATAAAATTGTAAAATTTTTATATTAAAATAGACAAATAACTTATAAGTTAGATATAAATATTCATAAATAATATTAAAATAATTATCAGTTAGATGAAAATTAAGTATTATATTGTGATAATCAATTTTAAAATTTTAATAGAATTAAGTGTTATACAATAAAAATCATTTCTAAAAATTTTAACATTTGATGTAATTTTAGTTTTATGAATTTATATTTATTTTATATTAGGTTTGATAAAAATATCAAATTTTAATGACAAAAAATTGTAACACTCTTAATTTTATATTAAAATACTTTGATAATTTATTATAATATATAAATAAAATTTAAATTTAAATTTA